TTTTAATACCTCTCCAAGCAAAAGCAAGCTAGACGTTAACACGTACAGTATCGGTGTTTCGCAATAATAAATACGCATGACACACAAGTTTATCCTTACATAGGATTCCACAAGTGTGAGGCTAGCATTCTTAGTTTGTTCAACAAGTCGTTCAGTACAAGTTCCACAGCCTGGGTATTTGCCAGGTTAGAATACGGGTTGAGCGACACTTGCTCGAAGCTCAGTGTGATGACGTGTGCTGTCCTGCAGTGCTCTGAACACCTGAAGTGGAGAGCAGTGCACTCACAAACGACCTCTGACAATTTTCCTCATTCTGTCCCTCAGTCGGTTCCTCCCATCAAGTATGGTGGACGTTTTGCACCACCACATTTCAAACAGTGCCAAACCAAAGTCGACAAAAGCAACACGCACGTCCCCGAACGTGCAGTATTGAACGAACCCAGCACTGGGACAGACGGACAGGAAGAGGCAGATTTCAGCTCCTGTGAAGAGGTTCGGCCGTGTCACGTTGCCTAGATACAGAAAAGCGATTTCTAATTTTTAACACTTTTTGGAAAATGATTATATTTCTCTAAAAAAGGGCTCGGACTGCAAATTATATTCTATTGCCATATGGTGCCTGTAGTGCAGATGGAAGTCATTGGAAACAGAGCTCCACACAATAGCTTTTGATTTCAGTCTCGGTGCTAGAGGAGGGTGACATAGTGTGCTGACTCAACATGACTCAATGTTGATCTCACTTGCACAGTAATGGCCATATTTTCACTGCAAATGCTCTGCCTGTTGCATGAATTAAGGGATTCATTACTACAATAGGTTTATTTTAAAGAAAGGAGACCATTATTTATCCCCCCCGTATTTTCTATCATGGAAATTCACCTTACAGCCATTAATCACAAAGCACTTGCACGCTGGTGTAAAGCAACTGAACATCTGAACAATGTAAGTAAGGCAACAGTTTCTCTTTGAGGTTCTATAAAGTGGTTTTGTATGTAAATAACAATGGAGACACTGTTAAGCTGTGATGCAACATTTCTTTATTATAGTTTCTTGTTTGCCTATGTCATTCGTTTTTTCAAATATTACATTTTTAGGGTTTAAATGCATAAACGTGATACTCTAGTTATATAATCAAACTAATTTTCAAGGCACTGTTTCACAGTATTTACACTGTACCACTTCGTATCAACATCAAAGAGATGTACATTAATATATGCCATTACTAGCCCACCTATTCATCCATTACCTTCAGAGAGGTCATATATGACACTATAGTTACATCTTCTCTGACTGATGTTCAAAAACACATAATAGGTACATAAGTATACATTACATTGCATAACATGTGTTCCTGCAATCCTGCAGATCATAGGGTTGGGTGGCATGGAGGGGCAGTGGTTTGCATTACTGCCTCTCATTGTTGGGGCTCTGGGTTCAATTCTAGGGCCGATGTGCTATCTGCAGTGAGTTTGTAGGTCTCACTATTTTTCCTTCGGGTGCTGGTTTCCTCCCACTGTCCAAAAGCATACTGGTAGATCGATGGGCTTCCTGGAACATTGGCCCTGGTGTGAGTGTGTGCATGTCTGTGGATGTTTGTGGATGTGCCCTGTGAAAGACGGGCGTCCCGTCCGGAGAGTATCCTGCCTTGCACCTGTTGCTTGCTAGGATAGGCTCCGGCTCCCCTTGGACCCTGAATTGGAAGAGTTAGAAAATGGATGGGTAGATTAGGGTTTAGGGTTAGGGACTGGGATTAGGTTTAGAGTGGGAGTCTGTTTTAGGGTCAAAATAGTTATGTGTCTGTTATGTCTTTTGGAATAAAGGTTATAAAAGAATATGAATGGTATTATAGTGTTGTTTGTAGAATAAGAACACATCCATAGAAAGTCTTAGCAATTAAACTGGGGACAGACGCATAGTTTCGACATGTGGAATTCCATACTGTATATGAGATGTTCTGTGTGCAGATTCAAATTCAATACATGAGCAAGCACACACGTCCTTATGAGCACCTACAGTATGAGGGCAGAGAGTTAACAAAGTTCAGGATCCCTTTAAAATATTTATTCCATGTAGAATGTTTCAGTTGTTTTGATATGGTAAATCTCATGTTTCTTGGAAAAACCGGCAGTTGTTTAAACTTTGATGATTGTTGATTGCTCCCTTTGAATGAAGAAATTGATTTAAAAAGCAGTGGCTTGTTCATCAAAAAGAAAGCTTTGATTTCAAACCATTGATTCGACAGAAGAGTAGAAATTGAACCACACTGCATCTGGGAGTGGGATGAAACCCGGGGAAAGAGAGGTGTCCAGGCTCCAACTTTAACAAATCTTTTGCCTCATAAGAAATGGAGCTTTGTCTCTGGCTCCTTTAGACGATGGTGTACCCTGTTACAGATCATTGACACAAATCCCAAGCAACCTTTTAGTCCTCATTGGTTATGAATATGCATTATTGATGCATGTGCAGAGTAACAGAGGACTCTTGCACAAGAATACCAATCCATAATTCATAAGCCTGTTATTAAGATTATTATTATTATGCTTCTGTTTCCACCTTTACCCTGTCTTGCCAGTCATATTTATTTTACTGTTAACAATTGCTGTAACTCATCAGGCAACATTAAACATTACTTAATGTATTTTCCATGACAGCGAGACAGCACATTGAATTCCTGGAGTTTCTTTTCCTCTTTCAACAGAGACACTAACTAACACTGCTTTTCTCAGAAGCACTCTCTAAACACATCCCGTCTCCTTTTACTTAAGTACATAGAGGATCGCCATATTCTTTTAATGATCCCAGATTAGTCATCCACAGGGCTTAAAATGAAACTAAAAATCATTTATCTATGACATCTAGCTATTAATGCAGTAAAAGGTGTTTCCATGGGAACCTCCTGATGTTAAATACATCTTTATAGAGATTTTTGTGGAATATTTTAGATTTCGAGTGTTTCTGCTACCTAACAAAACTGCAGTTTTTTACCCTGGATAATGTAGCATACAGTACTTTTAATTTGAATAATTCTTTAGCGTGTTTAGGTTTTTTTAATGTCACCCTTCCATATCATTCTGGGTACAGATGAAGTTGAAGCAGAAGTGTACAAATCAAGCCGGGCCCAGGCATTAAAGCTGCAAGCGACATGGGAGTCTCAGACACCCTGGTTTCATCTTTAGTGCTGTGTGTAGTCAAGCTCATTTAAAAAAGCATCCTGAGCATCTAATGTCTCTTCAATTGCCTCCTCACAGCCAGCCCCTACTGTAGTTGGCTGCCTGTTCCATTATGGATTGATTTTTAAAATGCTGTTAACCCGTGAGATCCTTGTTGACTAATTCCTGAATCGCTTGCAGATATGTGTGTGTCTTACAGTCCTCTCTCTGTAGTCTGCTACTCTGCGGCTATTGACTGTTTGAGCAGTTCAGATGAGGATTGTGGGAGGCAGAGCATATCCACACAGCTTATTTGTGGAATGTGGTGTAACACATACACCAGAATATAAATGAGAGCCAGTCTTTAAGTCATGACCAAAGACCCATTTATTTGAGAAGGAATTTCATGTGTGGGCTTTCCTTTTGATATGAATGTGATTTCATACATTTAAAAAAAATGAGTGAATATGATTTTTAATTAGGGCATTTTAATCTGTAATTCTTCTCTCTGTGTCTCTTCCTACACTTCATGTTGTGGGAGATCAGCCGGTGAACACCAGCGTCTGCACAGCCACTTGCTGAAGCAAGAAAGCCTCTCTGATGCAGTGCAATGTTTTTTCCTTGTGGATTGAGTTCCAGTTACCGAATACTATTAAAGCTCCGCTTTGAATGGCTCATTGTTGTCTTCCAATAGTTAAACTCTTCAGAACATTCATACAGTATATCATCATTTTGTTTTATAGGACTTTTGTAGCAATTGCTAACAAAAAGAAATGGACTAAGGTATTAAAATCAGCAGCTGTAAAGGTGAGATTTCTGCAATTGGATTCAGTTTATGATATTCTTTAAATGTGAAGTGATCGCAGACGTTTTTATATTGCATGAGACTTAAATAGACCATTTAGTGTGGCTTGGCCTCTTGCGTTGAGTACAGATTGAGCACAATAATCCAAAAATCACTAGGTCCAGTCTGGGCTATGTCATTAGCCAATTGTGATTTGGATTTTCCAAGACACAGTACATGTTAGAGTAATGATTGTTGATTCCAGGTTGCACCAGAACTGCTGCTCTTTGTATTTTGTGGAACACGTACATAGGTTCCTGTCCTGAGGTTGTTCCTAATTGGATTTAGACCATTATCTTGATTGAATACACTTTATTCTTTAACACTGTCAAGATGAAAAATGTAAATCGCCATATGCAAAATGAATGCCTTTGATTCATCTATATTATTCTAGTGCCGTAACCATGTCAAGAATGAAAAGGGAACAGACAAATGGGGCACTATTGCTAAAAGTATTTTAAAACCCTTCCTTTGTTTACATGACCCAGCCTAAGAAGGAAAAGGAGTTTTTGGTTCAATGTCGTGAATCCATTCTTCGAACATCTTAGCCCATTAATTAAAGAGCAAATACTGCCTTCTTCTGGTCTCACTTTTCTGAGAGAAATATGGCGAGACAAGAACAAAAACTGCAACAATTATGGAATATTGTAAATAAGCAGAAAAGGAGCAATTATAACAAAAAGAAAGATGAACAGGAGTTTAGTTGCTTGGTTTGGGATGTGTCATACAATACGAATCCATATTGTATTGTCGCTTCTCACTGACTGTACTGAGCTCTGTTGACTGTGTTAATCTGCTGTTGCAGGGCAATTTCCCTCACGGGATCAATAAAGTATCTATCCTCTGTACAAAAGAAACCAAGACTTATAATCTGAAGCAATACTGTATATATTTACCATTCTTTTAGTATCACAAAATGTATTCCTGGCTGTATAATGAACATTATATATTCATGTATATATAATGTATATATTCATGTATATATAATGTATTTTGTCGACTGTATTGATCTACAGTAATTTTAAGAATGGAACTGGTACATACTTTATGTACAGTGTAGTTTGACTTATAGGTGTATGGAATAAAGAAATAACATAAAACATGCCAGCTTTCCCTAGGATTTACTACTTAAGGGTGTGAGGTCCCCAGTTTTACTTAAAATGGAAGGTTAAGTAAAATTATAGTAAAATATTTGCTCATTTTATAATTTCGTAATTTTAGTACAATTAAAGGTGTATCGTTCGTCCAGCTATTGTCAGAAAGCGTCTTTTTCCTGGTAAGTCACAGCAACCCAGAGCCTTCCCAGAAACACAGGGGGCAAAGTGCTCTTTGAAGGCAGAAGGAACCCATTACATAGAATGATATTAGATAGTCTCATCCTGCACAAAGGCCTTGCATTCTATGTCCTGCATGCAATTTGTTACACAGATTTGTTTTTCCTTTAAGTGTTTTATTAAACTCCAACTTTAGATGGCCCTGGATATTTCCCAATATCTTTTCTTACATTTTATGGGTTAGAATGTTTAGAATAGATTAGAATCATCTTGTTTGTATTGCATACAGTGTATGTAATCCATATTGTACCTTGGTCTTGAAAAAGTAAAATATACTGTAAAGTCCAAGTTCTTCTCTTGTTTTTCAGTGTTAGTCCAGATATCACTTGCTATATGGCTTTTTTATAGCCAATACAATATATTATATTAGGTATATACTGTATGAGGTAGCACATACTGTATAGCACATAAATACCTAATGAATTCTGACCTAATTGAGGTAAGTAGTGCATTAAAGGCAAAAACAGCAAAGGGAAGCTCCGAACGGCTAAATATCAATTTGACACAATAAGAGGCTTGTTACTGAATGACTTCAGTTCTGAAAGTGAATAAGCAAATTGAATTATTAAGATGATTTGTTGTTTAAACCATGGTATTCTGTGCACCTATCACATTTACCTTTCAAACAAAAAAATACTTTTTAAGATAGTTGGCACTATCTTTCTTATTAATGAGGTTATAAGGCACCTGAATGGTTGTTTCCAGTAGCCTGTAGCTGCAATTTCCTAAGCAACAGTACTGGTGGAACTGGTCGGGCTTGACTTGGTCCAATATTAAACTGGGATTGTTGCATAGCAACAGCCTCTTGGATCGGTCAGGCAACTCGGAGTAAATGAGACGCGGCACACTTTGCATCAGGAGAATAGCTCCTACCTGGAAGATGCAGGTTCAAGCACCACAGTCAGAATTTCTTCACTTTCCGGACAACATAAGCTTCTGTAGGCCTGTTCCACTGGCACACCAGGGACACCAAGGACAGAGCTGGAGCGAGCAGAGAAAATTACCCTCCGCTCCCTGGAGGAATGTTTTTTGTGCATTCTGGATTGTGCGAAATATGCACAGTTATACAAAAGGGCCCACATGGCCACCTGCTCAATGGGAGAGTTTCCTCACACAACAAATAATATCATGACAGCACCTGTGAGTTGGTCTGGCTCTCTTGTGTCAGTTATATTCCAAGACCATTTCTTTTTTTTTTGACAGAAAGCTTTATTTATATCAGGTTACAGTTTGTCTCTTTCAAAGCACTGTGCACGGGGACTACAAAACCAGACTGAGCTGCCCTCATATAGGAATTGTACCTCCTATTTGTGTACAGATCTCCTACTGTATGTGTGCAATGATATGAAGATCGCTGACGATGTACCTGCACTTATCTGTCTTTTAATCTTACTTGTTCGTCTCAAAGCTGACTGAACGACCTAAATTAAGAGGAGCAACGGATAACTGTACCGATAAAGGAGAATTGTCAGTTTGCTTTTATACAGAAAGGGAAATGAGTTTGGTTTTTTTTTTCCTGAGTCAACTGAATTTTTATTTTCATGTTGGTGGACTCTGGGAGAAATGGCTGTGGTGTTTTCGAATTAGGAGGTGGCAAACTCTGATTCTGGCGCATTTCGAATCAAACAGAGGGCGCCCAGTATGAATCTGATTTGGTAACAGCTGCCGTAACTGCAGTGTCTTATCAGTTGATCTAGCTTGCTTTCCTGCTGCCATTTCACACTTGCTCTTTAGGCTTTCTGAAACAACGTTGGTCTTGGATCCAGCAGGGGTGTTGCCTCAGTCTGCCTTGCCCTGCACCGTAGAACCAGGTATTCCACACTTCGCTGTCCCGCTGCGCTTCATACCTGGCCCACTCTGGCTTTCCTGATAAGAAACGCTCTTCTTTTTGGGGTGAGTGCGTGCGTTGCCGTGGTTACCGAAACGCCTCCCTCACAGGCGTCATCATTGCAACCACCTCCACTGCGAACGGCGAGGCTAGCCTCCCGGCACATTGTTTACGAGATGAAAAGGAGAGCTCTTGTCGATGCGGGCAGATAATGACCAATTTGGGTCTGTCTTTTTTTTTTTTTTATTCCATGCTGTCCATTCAGAACGAGAAAACCTAGTCATTTCAGTCGTTTGTGGTGACAAAGCTGCTGATCCATTTCACATGACAGTCAGGCCAATTTTGATTTTCTTCCTTTTTTGTGAGGGTGTGTGACAGCCAAGGAAAGTCGCAGGTGCAGACTAAAAGAATGATGCATTCTCCATGTGTTCTGTTTTTCCTGACTCGTTTGAAACAGACCACAGATAACAATAGGGACCCATTGTTTGGCATAAAAGGGTGTTCGTATTTGAATCTACACCTCATTGAAGAAGAGAGGGAGTATATGTAGTGGAGAAGTGTGTGACATTGGAGATGACAAAGATTGTGTGTGATTATCTATTTCGTGCTGAGGATTATTATTTTTTCACATTTGAAAAGCTGAAAATCCTCTTTGGATCCTTCAGAAAACCTCACATACAAAGGTCCGAAGCATCTACCCACTGCACGCAAATGGACACAGCTGGAGTGGAATTTGTGCCCTTTTGTTCTGAAAATTGTGAGGCTGTTCTTCTCAGCTCACACTTTGACCTGCTTTCATCCTGGGTCACTCTGGCAGCTGGCACCAAAATATTTGACCCAAGTCGTCAGTGATTCACTTTTTTCAAAGGTTGCTTCTCAAACCATTTGTGCTCCTGTGCCAGGCTGGACGATGGAGAAATATATATATATATATTTTTCTCGGGGGGTTAAGAAGAAAGGCGAATTTGTTAGACTGTCATACCCAAGCCTGGAGCACCTCCGGAGAGTCTGTTCTCCTTTTTACTTGTTCTGTGTACAATTTGATGATAGACGTGGGATGTTAAATACGATTTAAAAAAAAACTCAAAATGTGTCATATGTTTGTGATCTGTCTCAATCATTAGCATGCTTTATACAAGAACGAGCAGCTCGTAAAATGGAGTTTATAAGAAAGGTTCTGGAGCCATGACAACACCCAGTTGCATCTGCTTCAGCTGTCAGTAATTTGAAATCAATCCTGACGTCATTTCCACACCAAAACATTATAAATACTGTAAGTGATCCTTTTTTCTCCCTCGCACGGGTCTTTTATATCCCTCTTTCGCTTTAGCTCCAGCTCTGCAGGTGCCCCTTGGTCACTCCTCTCTCTGAATGGGGGCTTCCTGTGGCCGGGAGGCAAGCCCTCAGCCCAGTGGGTTAAGCCAAATTTATTATGACTAAAACACTCAATAAACCTTTCAATACACTTGTTCCTAGTGAAACTAGATAGGGAATGAACTGCAGTGTGATGGAAGTGCTACTTCCCTCTGCATGTCACCATTGAACCAGCACTGCTGTCTTCTCTGCTATACAGGAGTGCTCACATTTAGCTGTTGCCAATTGAAGACAAGCTCTGACCTCAGGGAGAAACCCTGAAATCAGGAAATTCCCACCTGCCATGTGATCCGGCACCCTGACTCCACTCTTCTCTCATCTTTAAAGAAAGGTAAGGTTTTCTGCCATCTGCGGATTATGTCTGAACAGGTCCTGAAAAGATGACATTTTTTTATTGTAATCTAATATGCACTCTTCTAAATATCTCTTTCTGCTGAAGATGTTATCCTGCATGGAGCAGAACTACTCCAGCAGCGATACCTTGTGAGGAGAGTTCTGACAGCTGGATGAGAGGAAGTGGCAGGGGGAGACATATCAGTAGCACACCAGCTGTACAGAATAATTACAAATGAGCCCAACATCTTTGTGGGATGCCTTTTCATTTCTTCGTCTCAGTTAGCCTTGAGCTATGCTTAAGGGAACAGTCAGAGGCGCAAGTAGTAATGAAAATGCAATCCATAAAAATGAATAATGTAAAATGCAAATAGTATGAACAGATCCAAAAGGTAGGCAATAATGCAGCCGATATAAATGTAGACTACTCATCTGAAGATCTGGAGGCTTAACAAAGGTATATTCAGGAACATGTGTGCGTGCCGGGGGCTCATAAAAAATATGAATCATTTATTGTTTGGATTTGTTGCTGAAGTGCTCTGCCTGTGGACTTCAAAAGCTCTCTGACAATATAAAAATGAAATGAGTATACACCTCCTTGCTATTGTAAATTTTGTTGTTAGAGGTAAAAACAAAAATCTAAATAAGCACTCAAAACTACTTGCGGAAAAAAGTCTAGAGACAAATGCCTGATACCAAAATAACAGTTCTGGCAGCTGGGAACTTAATGGCACAGGATTGCCATCATCATTCTAGCATGCTTGGTGAAAGAGCCCTAAAAAGTAATTAATGTATAACATAGTAGTAAAACTTTCTGTAAATCGATAATTTGGAGAATCACTAAGACACAACATTATTTTAACTACACTCTTGTGGATATATGACAAGATTTCCATTTTTGCATTTTAAAAACAAAAGGTTAGTTTTATTAAATCTTGATATTTTTTCTATCACATGTTCTTTTACTCATTATCCCCAAGTCATAACATACATTTCCATGAAATCATTCCAGGCTCATTCCTGGAATTCACCAAATTATGTCATTTGGGAGAACATTGTGAAATAACTCTTGACATTTTTTCCTTTTTATATAAACCTACAAAGTTGTCAGATGTGTCAGTTAGCCTGCAGAAATGCCTGGGAACAAAGTTATTTTCCAAAAGCACATTAATACTTGCAAAGCTTTACTATAGTAATAAATAAAATGCTGTCCCCTGTAGGAATTGTTTGGCATGCAGTTTCCTTGTGCATATGCCCAGTTAATTCTGAATTCTCCTGAACGTTACCATGTACATAAAAGCAAGCTGCTTTTCTAATATTACTTTCATCCTCAATGATTTCTCTGTTCTGGCTATTCAGTTGACATACAGTAAGTCACCTTAAGAGCGGTGTTGATAAACAGGGAAGATGGTCTTTATGGGCAATACAGGCCTGGTCCTTGCCATTGCTCCCTCTCAGGTATTTGTACCTGAAGTCTGGTGCCTGCATGTTCTCCTCATGTTCATACGAGTTCTCTGTTCTGTGGTAGTTTCCTTCCACTTCCCAAAAGACATGCTGGCCAGGTCAACTGGTGCCTCTAAAATGTCCCTGTGCGTTTGTGTTTGTGTGTGACCTGCCAGTCGTCCCTGTCCAGGGTGCAGGCCAATCCTTCGCTTTCCAAACGGGGATTCAACAGCTCTTAAGCACGAGCAGATACGGATGATGGAGTGATTGATCTAATTGATGGATGGGTATTCTCCGGCATCTGCGGTTATGAATTCCCCCAACATTAATCTGACTGAGAACAAATGAATTTACAGTAAGGGACATCTTTCAGAGTTAAACAAATTTCCAAACCCCACAAATTCCTTGCAAATCCCAGTCACTGGCACAGGGTGTAATCAGAAAGCCCCCTGCGCCACAGACGCAAAAAGGAAATGGTTGTCCGCTAGGACAAAGAGAGAAGGTTCTTGAATGGATCCCTGATTAAAAAAGTGAAGCGCTAATTACGCGTGGGTGCAGTGAAAGCTAATCTTCTCCTTGCCTGTGCCGACTGAGGGCTCTTCCTAAGAGTCATAATTTGACAATGAATTTGAATTTCATCAAAAAAATAAGAGTACAGAGCTTCAATGAAGAGGCTACAGCTGTCTGTCTGAATGGAGGTCTCACCCTAGCTCAGTGTCTGGAGAGAAGGGGAATAAATAATATTCATTAAAAAAAAGGTCGGATTGAAAAAGGCTCTCCCTTTGAAACACTGTGCACAACCAGGAGCAAATGATTCAAAGGGTCTGTGGCTCCAGCCTACAGCAATTACTTGTCTATCTGCTCAGCTATGTAATATGCCTGTGATGCAACAGGTAACTCATTGTCTCTCTACATCATGAGCTAAGAACAATCAAGAACAAATGCTTAGATTTTACACAGCACTTAGGGCAGGGCAGACAGTTAGGGAATCAGCAGACGGGTTTGTGCAACAGCATCTGGGTGCTGCCAAGTTGAAAGAGGTTTGGAGTTGCTGAACTTCAAATGCAGGCCATCTGAAGGGTGCAGTGTTCTGCAGTTTGCCTTGTTTTCTTTTTACACACTTGAATCACACGAGGGTGCTATGCCTTATAAGTGTAACAATATATATCTGTCACAAAGCAAGAACTGTCTAGTTCACAAAATGAAAGCTGAAAGCACCCAGTCAAACTTACCAAGACAATATTTTCAACACCATGATACAGTTCATAGTAACAAACCCCCTAAATCTAAAATTGAAATAAATAATAAATATGTGTTTGGACTAGTAGGCATTAGTGGTTTACCTTTATGTTGTTAGTCAGTTCTACTTGGGGATTTGTTGTAGGTTATAGTTTGTAGTTTCAAAAATGTTGTTTCGTTGGTGTAATCTAAGGTGATGTTATTTGTACCAGAACACAGGATTTGGTTTGCTGTGTGATTGTGAGAGGAGACAAAATATTGTACCAGCAGGCGGTCTTAGGGGATCTTGTTGAAAAAGGATACTGGGCCTCGCTGTCACGATTGTAGTTCTCCCCCTCAAGGGCGCTCCAGCTCTTTCACATTTGAGTTAATTTTGCGCACCTGCTTCTGGTTCCTGCCTCCCTACTTAAGCCAGACGCTTAAGTATCAGTTATGGCATCTGAAGAGAACAGAAACATCAGCGACTTTCCCTCCACCAACCCAATACCCACACAACTCCTAGGATCACCTCTGCTCAATTTAAGCAACAAAAGACTTGCAAATCCAAAGTGGTCTTGTACCTCAGCCTCCGAGAAGGCCAACAAAAAATAGGAGAAAAGCATTAGGTGAGCTGATGTGGTGCTGGCCAGCTGGCCCTGGTTCAGACTGTGTAGGGGCAGACTCCTGGGAAAGCCGAAGAGCAAGCTCCTGCTGCTGTTGATGGGCCACTTTCTGAAACAGCGCGGACCGCCGCTCTATTGATTGACAATCGTTGAGACGCTGCGTGCTGCACATCCAGTACAGCTGAGAAAAGATGCTGGAAAGACTTCTGTGTGTGTTTATCTGTGTCTGTCCTGCAATGGGCAGCTGACTTGTCTATGAAATATATTTTCCTTTGGCTCATTAGCTTAATGGGAACTAAATATGTTGTGTTTTCATAAACTCTCATGTATAGTTTTATTTGTGGCATCATGCATTAGAGCTCTCAAGGATAAAACACTAAATCTCTAAATCTAAGACTGCAGTCTTGCTTGTGGAATGTCTCTGATATAGCCAATTTTTATAATGATGCACAACCAAGTGTTGGAACCAAGAGCATGCTGTTACACAGCTCTCTCAAAGTGGCCTTGGATTGGCTTTCCTGGGGCTTTATTGAGTTATTTTTATTTTTCTGTGCTTTTTCATGCTTGTTTGGTTATTGCACAACACATGTTTGTACTCCAGTTTCTTTAAATGCTTAAATGTTTTTGGGCCTTAGTAGTTTCCGTCAACTTGCTACCTGAGGATTATAGAACAAAACTTAGAATATTGCTGCTTAGCCTTAAATCCTTTCTTTAATGTTTTTTCATCATCAAACTTATGTTTCCAACTGTACACTGTTTGCATTCTTTAGATTCTGGTCTATTTCTGTTCCCAAAACTAGGCTCCAAACTGGAAGATTGTGTCTGCTGGTTTGTGGCTACAAATCTGTGTAATGATCTCCATCTCCCAGAACATACAATGTTAGATCTTACAATTCTGTCATTTCTTTTAAATTCTGCTATGCAACTTTTTGGTTCACCAGATTTTAATCCCCTTTAATTTATTGCATTACATTTTGTATATCAATTAGTACCTAATGTGTTTGCTTGTTTTTAGTGTAAAGCACTTTCAGTTGCTATCATGAAAAGCTTTTAGTAACAAAATTAATTACAGTAGATATTTTTCCAATTTTGTTTAAATAATCTAAACATTTCTCACGTGAAAATAATTTTATCATCAAGCCGCTGAAAACAAAATACATCTTTTGAACTTATTTTAATGCTTTTTTTTACTAAATACAATGTATGCAATTAATAAAATGAACAGAAATTTCATCTCTGAACTTCTTTTGATGCTTTATATAACAACATAAATATTAAAACACATCAAAATATTTTCATTAAAAAAGCTAAATAAATATTTACTATATATATGCAGATTGCATATGTGCATTAAGTGTTCAATGCACAGTGACAGAGTGGTTAGTATTGCTGCCTCTGATTGCTGGGGCTCCGGATTCAATCCCAAACCTGGGGTGGTATCTGCGTGGAGTTTCCTCCAGGTGCTGTGGTTCCCTCCCACAGTCCAAAGACAGACTGGTGGGTTAACTGGCTTCAGGGGAAATTGGCCCTGGTGTGAGTGGGTGTCTATCTGCCCTGCGATGGACTGCTGTTCCATCCAGGGTGTATTCAGCCTTGCGCCCATTGCTTGCCAGGATAGGCTACCCAATGGCCCTGAACTTCAAGAAGCAGTTAGAATATGGATGGATTACTATGTATGTAGATAATTTAAGAGTTCACTACATGGAGTTTGTAGGCTCTCCCCGTGTTCCTCCTGATCCTCCAGTTTCCTCCCGCTGTCCAAAGACAGACTGGTGGGTTAATTGGCCTCTGGGAAGACTGGCCCTGGCGTGAGTGTGTGGTTGTGTCTGCCCTGTGATGGGCTATGGGCTGGAGCCCTGTCCAGGTTGGACCTTTTCTTGCACCCATTCCTTGCTGGGATAGTTCCCCTGCGACGCTGTATTGGACAAAGTGGTGAGAAAATGGATGGATGAGTCGATGAACACATTCACTACATAGAATGCCGCCTGTCTTCTTAATCATTATCTCTCCTGCACCTATAAAGAACCCTCAGTGAAGTTCTACAATCTGTAAGCCCAAAGGTAAAGCAGGGCCCACTGTAGTGCCACCTGTGCCTTTAAATTGGTGTGAAAAATTGTTTTCCTCCTGTCCTCACTGTTCATTCATTGGGGCTTGTGTGTGAGGGTGAGAGGTCAGAATTTCCCATAGGAATAAAACAGTGAGTCATCAGAAGAAAGCAGTCAGTCATACAGAGAGCAAGTCCGAGCTTTTACGCCAGGATTCTAGATCAATAAGTTGGATGACACTGCATTTAGAAGAGGGAAATTCTAACTAACAAACGGGACATGTTGCTTGTTTTATTTAAATAAAATGACCATAGAAGCAGGATTTCAGGTTCCCTTACGCATTGTGTGTCTTCATTACCCCATAAGGATTTTCACATGATGTTCAAATCAAGAAAATTAGAAAAGCTTATTACTTTAATCACCCTTTGTGCCAAACTGTTACATATCCTGTTTTTCTGGGTTCAGGTTGCCATCACAGTAGGATACCTGTATAACATTAATTTGTTTTACTGGTGATAATGGAACCACCACAGACATAAATCCATCCAACTGTACATGTACATTTTATGATTGTGATGTTGTGAGGGAGGCACAAATGTATTGCAAAAGCCCACAGAATGAGGCCAAGCTGGTCTACTGGAGTTAGCACACAGAGGGAGCAAGATTCCACATGAAGGAAAGGAGCTGAAGGGATAGGGGCTACATGGAATTAGTCATGCCTCTGGGCTAATGTAGAGCCTATAAGAACCGCCAGGAAGGAAAGGCCTTCAGTCTGTCTAGGTTTCATCTTGGAAGGAGGGATTGCGAATGATTGTGTATGCTGGAGAACAAATGGTTTAGGCTGTACTAAAGGGTGGCACAGGTTCTGGACATACTGTATGGGCTGTGTGATTGTTTGCAGGTCAGCCAGCTGCTCTTACCCAATCATACAGTAAGCCAGGGTATCTGTAATTTACTGTGAAGACCTGGATGACATGAGTTAACTGGGTTGAATACTCTGACATGGGCAATAAATGCACATAAGAATGGGAAGAGCATAAGAAATACGCCACTATACTACCATGATGCTGGGGGTGCTGACTAGCAGAGGCTGGACAGGTCATAGTGGGAACCTGAGACCACAGACTAGGATGGGGAAACATGGGAGAACCACACAAGTATACTCACATAACATGCCATTCCCCCGAGCCCTGGGAGTTAACAATGCCCCTGGTGATTCCCCACTATCCCAGACAAGTACGCATTTATCCCAGCATGCTCTCCTGGGGCTGACATCACCAGCCCCGTTGCTTGTCTGCTTGGTGCCACATCACTGCCTGATGAGGGCGCTACAGTACTAGTCTAGTGCCTAGTGCATTTTAATTATGTTAATTTAGTGAATTTTAAACCTAGTGCGTTTTAATTCAGTTAATCTAGTGAATACGTTGTCTGGTATGTATTTTGTTTAAATCAGGTTAGTCATTTGAGACTAATCTGATCTAAAAAACAAGGTAGGTAGTGCCTTTACTGGAGCAGTCAGAATGAAATATGTTCAAACAGAATCCCACTCAGCCCATTATGTACAGGTCCGAAGTCCCAAAACCTGTTCTGAAGTACTCAATGAAGTTTGGTCCTCTTTTTTTCGCTCAGCACTCACAGATGATTTATGGCCTTAAATATATCAAAATCCTAATATTGCTAGTATCCCCTTCAGCTGACTGGGTTGTGCACAATCACTGAATTTTCACTAGTGCCTCAGACTTCAAACAGCAGTTCACACCAGACTCATGCATCGTTTGACAAGAGGAGCAGGAGAAGCAGCCTTTTACTGGCTGGCTGTAAAAACAGAAGTGTATCTGGGTCTACATAAGCATGCTGATGCCTATTTGACCTTTTGTCATCTTTATCCAATGAAATTGAGTTTTATTATATTCCTACACTATGTGGGTGTAGTGAAGTGTCTATATGGAAAAGGAAGTTCGCTTAACACTACAGAAACCAGGATAAGCTCTCTCAATGAGTTGATGTGGTTCTGGTCTGGACTTTACTTTTTTAAACATGAGTTTTAATCATAATTATGTTTTTTATCCTGAACTTACTTCAAAAACAAATTACCTATGTGCTTTAACCATCAATGATGGTCAATGATTTCCTACTGTTTTGTTTTTTTTAACCTTTGACACCAACCTATAAAATATTAAGAATGACAGTATCATGATAAAAAGAGATGCATTGAGCACTGAGAATGGCTTTCAGAGACAGGCGAGTAATGAGAATCCACCCACACTAGGCTCGGAGTGGTGAGAAGGTGGGCAGACATTAGCTCACTGGGAGACGTCTGACACTGGTGCCATGAACTGCAGCTCCAACAGGAAGCCCGTTGACACCACAGAGGGGAGGAGGCAAGTTTCAAGAAGAGAAATGTAAACCGAGTGACACCTGTCCTAGACCTGTCCTGGTGGCACAGTGAAACTTACTGCATGTTGAAGCATTCACAAAAGAAGTTTACAGTTTGAGGAAAGAAACTCTTCTCCTGTACTTTGCCAGCCTTTGTATACACTTTCATTCATCCTTTTTCTAATGGCTTCATTGGGGTTGTAGAGGAGCCGGAGTCTAACCAGGCAAGCAATGGACGCAAGGCAGGGTACACCACTCCATCACAGGGCAAACAGAAACGCAGACATCAACACAAACATGCAAACCGGGGCCGGTTTCCTAGAAGTGCCATCATGTGGACTGTGGGAGGAAACTAGAACACCCGGAGGAAACTCCCATGAACACAGGGAGAACCTGCTCACTCCATGCAGATAGCAACCCAGGTCAGGAAAACATCCTGAAGTTTATGAACGTAAGTTCATGAACACAAGGACAAAAAGATGGATTTTTATCACAGATTAATTTTAACACAGCTTTTCAGCAATGTCAAGTACACTCAAGCTTCATTTTATGAATGTAATTTGTTCCTTGGAAAGTGTTCATAATGTGAAAATTCATACGTTGAAAATAAAAGTATCATTACTTTAAATATGAAATATTCCCATTTCTAAACCTATTTATAGGTTTTGAAAATCACCCAGCACCCCTTGTGTTTACCCTAACACAGTCCTGAATCTGTCAAATTAAGAACACTGTTGCTTGGTTAAGATATTAACCTTATTTACCGCGATTCCGTGATGAAGATAAAATGTGTAAAAACTCTTAAGAATACAGACACATTGACCTACAGTACAGTATGTTATGGAAGGACATGCTATGAGGATGGCATCTTCCATTTGACTATGCACCTCTGTTGTAGCACAAATCTCTTCATAACTATGAAAAGCAGGTATGAAAATGCATGTTTTATTAGAGAGAAAAATCTGTTGACACCCCATTGACGGACAGGGTCGATTTAAATTCCAAAATTGCCATTTGGGGCATTTTTTAAATAAACCCATGTTTTTCTTAGGCTACACTTGAATCCTAAAATAAACAAAAAAAATAAAAAAAGTCTTCCACATTCATTTTTTTTCCTTCAGACATGGGCATTTCTGTAGCGTCTATTTTTCGATTAATGGGCAATAGGTAAGGAATGTCTTGACAGTCAGCACTGATCGAGATTCTGAAAGAGTTAGTGGGATCAACAGGCAAACACATGTACTCCACTATACCACTTTATACTCTGTACTATACAGCACACTGTGCTGGAGGGACTCTATGTCTCAGACTGTGCATCCAGAGAGATGATCTCTCCTGTTTTTGCCTCCAGGTCTTCGGTTGTCAGGGATCATGACCCAGAACTCAATGACAGGCCCACCTGCCCAAGCTGACGCACAACAGGAGGAGCGTGGTAGAGTGGCTCAGTCCCCCCACAGCTCCCCACAGGACCCCCAGGGCCCGTGGTGGGAGAATCTATGGAGGGCCGTGGTGACCGCTGGCTGCACCGTCTGCGTTTGTGTCTTCTCCCAAATAGCGGTAGGATCTGAACATGGCGCTCTAAGTTCTACTTGGCACAAAGCTTCATTTTGTTCTGCACGAGCGGGAAAGCAATCACAATCACACCCAAAAACTCCACTGCAGCACAGATATAAACCAGACTTTAGAAGTTCAGGTGGGGAGCTGCGTCAGCATGCTTAGGCTGCAAAGGAGCAAGTAATAGGTTTATTCCGTGCTGACAAGAGAAGAAAGAAAACACAACTTTTCAGCTGTGGAGCCTTCTTCGGGTGTGTCTAAAGCAGCCTTTATTCGCACCTTGCTCCATAAACGGAATAAGTCTAGCCAAATCCTTCTCTCCAGCCACCCCCTCAGTGGCCTAGTGTCACACTTCCCTATGTAAATTCAACTTGTGGAAATCCCCTCAATCCATGCAGAAACAACTATATACACTAGTGAGAATTTTAATGCTTGAGGCCATTTGACTAAAGTCCCTTAGTCTTTGCAGTCCTTTCATGGGGTACAATTCCACACATATTTATTCAGTTGTTCCCCATTTTTCCTTTAATGGGGTTGTAAAAAAAGCTCAGGAGGAGGTCAAAGTCTAGTCTCATCACATCTGCCCGTCTATGTATAATCACCATGCTTCTCGCATGTTCACTCACATGTTTCATTTTCGCATTAGCCATTTGCTCTCGTCAGAGTCAGGCCTTACCATGCTGCTCTCTTCCTCCTGTTTGAAAGAATCCAAACTGCAGTGCTTCAGGCTCCAGCTGGAGAACCAAATCCAAAAGCAGTGTTTTCTCCCAGATGTCCTAGGGGTGAGTCCCACCATGCCGATATCCATCCATCCCTGCCCAACGGCGGCAGTCCCCTCACAACTTTCCCAACAGCCATCAGTGTTGAGTGTCTTCTCCAAGTTCATCTTTTTCCATGCAAGCCTAGCCAGTCTGACCTGTTCAATGAGTCAACGGACTCAAACCTTCTTCCCCAACTCGCTGAATGCCTTCTTCCATGCAGATCTCTGCCTTATCACGCACCTTTTCCCCACAGTTCACAGGAGTCAGTCCGACCACTGATGGCACATTTTCCCCATTTTTCCATTATGCCCTTTGCTCACGTCAGAATTAGCTCTCTTACTATACAAACCACATGCATTGTGGTTGAATGCACCTCACCATCTCAACTTCATAAACACCACCATTCTCTGCTTCATAAATTCCCTGCTGCTGCCATTAGTAGGGCTATTACCTTTAATCCACCTTTCCTCTGTGCTACACAATCATTGAAATCTCTTTACCTGATCAAAGCAATAGAACAAAACACATAACACATGTTAGCCATCATCACTAATGCCTTTGTATTTATGCCTATCAGTCCTAAACAACAAGCACTTCATGGGGTGTGTTGGCAAGACAGGTATGATTTCACAGCCCAACTCAATTTCAAGTGCTGCACCAGCTCAGTCCTCTGTTGGCTCATCCCTCATTTAGCTAGAGCTCTTTCTGTCTAGAATTTTTAAGATGTCTGAGTTCCCTTCAGCACATTCTTTACCACAGAAATTATTCTCCTCCTCTGGAGCTCTAGGGTGTTCAGATCTTAACCTTTCTCACATCCTTGCCACAAGCCATGTCTGTGCTAACATGATTCTCCTCGCTTTCTTTGGCTTTTATTCAATGCAAGCACTTTTATACCTACTCAGTCACTGAAACAAAGCTGCTTGCATCTCTGTCACTTATCTTCTTGACCTTGACTCTTCTGTAAAACCTCAGCAGCACTGTGTTAACCCAGACTTCTACTGATGGTGAACTGAAGACTGAGATCCTGTCTCTGAAGCGATGGCATGCATCACTTTTCTTTAATGACTGCTTTCTGCGACTTGGATCTCCATCACGCCCCTGGCGCCACACTGCCCACATTTCAAGTCTTACAGTAGAAAAGAATTTGCATCCCTCTGGCCTCATGAATTTTCTAACATTTCTGTATTGTGTTTCGCTAACTTTTCCTTTATGTCATCATTCTTCCTTGGGGTCCTGATCTGTCCTGATCCACTCCGTCTGTAGTAGACATTTTAAATAAAAACTTTTTAAATCCATTTCAGAGTTTTACCTCTGTCTGTAAATAATTATAAAACATATTCCCTGCTACTCGGACTAATGTACAGGGTTACCCTGTTCAGAAACACTGATCCTCCATCACTAATCCTAAATATTATCTTTAATTTAAGTCTTATTCAATATCTCCTCCTCAGTACGCTTGTGTCACCTTCCTTTAACATAGAATTTCATCCCAAATTTTACACTCATTCAATACTTAAAATCAATCTATATAGACAGCCCTATTTCAAATATCAATTACACTCAACACTGACTGCCACTCCAACCCACTGCTTTTCCACAGATTAAAAGCTGGTTGATTTCACTTGCCACTGGTTGTGAAACCTCTTCCCTGATGTGTTAACTAGGCCGGCTTCAGCACTGAATGTTTTCAAGATAAATGGACACATTATAATAATTTATTTATAAGTTACTTGTTCGCTTTTTTTTCCTTTTGGTTGGTGTAAACTATATTGTGTTGCTTTTTCTGAATGTTTTATTGATCAATTTAATGAAAAAATGTTGCAGAAATAATCCTTTGAGTCAAAGTTGTAAAGTGTTACATTTTCGCTGCTGGAGATAGTAACACATTGACACATTTTTGTGAAATAAACCCAAGAGCAGGCAGAGAAATACAAGCACACAAGCAAACAGAAAAGTGAGTAAACAGCACAATGTTGGCAGCTGGCAGTGGAGACATACAGGCATAGCAATGGTGAGCACAGTCTAGAGTCATAAACAGGGACAAACAAAGCTCAAAATCAAGAGGCACCATACAAAGCATCAGAGGAGAACCCAGAAAGCATAGTCAGGGTCCAGAAGTTAGGAAGCAAACAGTCACAGCTCAGGAACTCAGGACAAAGTTAGAAACATAGCAAACTCTATGACAGAGTACTCAAGCACAGTCAGGTCATGGCTTATGTAGTCTTGAACCACCTGAGGTGGGTGTGGTGGATAATTACTGCCAGGTGATACAGGACTCCTGTAGAATTAATTACCACGGTAACCGGCACTGACCAATAGGAGATGTTAGTTGTGAATGGTTACCGTGTAGATACTTGCTTGGCCCACTGCTCATCTGTAGTGTTAATCATGACAAAAGTATCTCCTATTGTAATTCAGTACAATCAAATTCTATTTATTGTGACAAGACAATAGAGAGATGAGATCACTTTATTAGCCATATACAATTTCTTGCATTAGGAATTCGTCTTTTCACATACCCCAGCTTGCTCTCCATGAGACACACAGACAGGGAGAGAAGCTGGGGGTCAGAGCACAGGGTCAGCCATTGTTAAACGCCCCTGGAGCAGCTGGGGTCAAGGGCCTTGCTCAGGGGCCCAACTGAGTAGGATTCCTCTACTAGCCGCGGGATTTGAACCAGCAACCTTCCATCCACTGGCGCAGATCCTGAGCCACAGAGCCACTGCACCACCCTTTTTAACTCACCTGGCTAAGGAAATGGCAACCTGACCTCAAGGTGAAGGCTCACAGAACCCCTTGTAAGGAATAAGCCAGGAGCTGCTGCAAAGTGAAGTGGGGGTAGAGGGAGGGGAGAGAGAAAAGATGTGATCAGGTGGTGAGATATTTGTGTGGAACTAGGCAAGATTAAAATTGGACCTGCTCTTAAACTTCTGTTTAAAAAAGTCTCTTTAAGGCCAAATTCTAATTAATGCAACGATACGACAACACTAATCAGGGTAGTGTATTAAAATGTTGCATTTGCCTGGCAGAGGAAATGTCGATGTGATTGTAATGTTGGGGCAGACAGGACCCCCAAAAGAGATCAAATTTGTTTTGGCAGAAGTAGAGCTTTTGATCTCCTCCTGAATTTGTGTTTCAAAACCACATTTATTAAGTTTCAGGGCATTTTAGTTCCACAGGAGGAAGCAGCATACTGTGAAAATAAAAATCAACAGTAGTACTTTGGGAGACATATCTGTTTGTTCTTATGTGCAGGGTGTTTGGATCTTGTACATGTGCAATGGATATGAAGCCTTCCCTGCAGCTCACAAAGTGTTGGATCTGATGCAGTACCTGCTGACACCACTAGGAGCATACAATTCAGTGGAGGAGGTGGGTATGATGATACTCAACTCAATCCAGATTACTCAACCCAGATGTATAACTTCTCTGCAACAGTTATTTTTCCCTTTGAGAAGTCTAGCAGTCTACCTTTCAATTATTATAAAAAGTCACAGGACTCAAATATAAATGAAGCATCTTCAAATTGCATTTAAAATTTATCATTAAATTACCCCACAAGGTTTTCTCTCATTCTTCTTTAGTGATCCCTTATGCATTATTGCATTAAATGACTATGCAAATATTTCTGTTTTTCCTTATTTTAAACACAGAGTAAAACAAAAGCAGCCACAGTTTTCAAAATTCCCAAAATGATCACACTCTCTCAAGACACTAATTTCAGATGCTTGCAAGGATCATAGAAATTTGAAACAGCTACAGCTTCTACCTTCAAATTCAAATCCAAGGACAGTCATTTTCTTTGGGGGTTAGTTCACTAACCTATTTTCTGAGACATTTGTTCCCCACAGGACACAGCGTGGAGGAGTCATCTCCACAACACTTCTTCACTTACTTGGAAGCCATGTGGGTTTCTCATTCATTTTGACCCTGGTGCAGCTACATTCTTTGAGCACACAATGTGACATACAAACTCTCATCTGCTTTGAAAAATATCAGAACCCAGCGCAGAACCCAGCAACCCAGCACAGCCATTGGCTGCAGATTTACTACAGAATATTGCCCTTAAGAACTTAAGAATGGTTACAAATTCTGTCCATCAAGCCTGTTTGACCGTTAGATGTTCGGGGATCTCTTCCAACCATTTCTTGAAAGAAGCCAGAGTATCGTCTTTTATTGATAGTTTGAGGTCTAAACTCATGGATTCATAAATTTGCAAACATCTGGGATTTCGCAAGTATAGGATATTGTACACACAGAGTTCTGAAGCTGAAAGCTTTGTAAAAGTACTTTAATGTGATGGAAAGATTTCAGAATAACCCCATCTGGTTAACATTATTATAACATTATCTTCCCCTAGAATAATAAATCATTTATACAATGGCAGGTTTCCTCAAAAACTATTGGTAGTTTCTAATCACAACCACAGGAAAACCTGTGGTGAAAACTATAAACAGTACAGTTGAGCTTTGTTTAACATGATAATTTTGAGAGGAAAACCAGATGAAACATGAGGAAGAGCCTTTTCTGAATAACTAGTTACCTCAGACTTGTTTATGCATATAACTGAAAAAGAAAAGTCATCATTTTATCAGTAGTATAAATATAATTACCACCTCAGATAGGTATATTTTGGCTTGATGTGTCCTAAACCCACAAAAGGGCAGATAGTCTATAGATTTAATTTAGTATCATATTGTACATTATTAATCTGAGTAAAATCTATCATACACCTATAATCCTTTCTATGTTAACTATCATTATATACAATATTGGAGATAATTATGAAAAAAAGCAGGAAAAGTATGTTAAGCATTTGCTGTGCTTTTTATACACATGTGCGTACGAGAATACAAAAGATATAGTGGTGATATTCCATTTTCAAATAGTACATATTTGCAAATTTTGTTATATTTGTATTGGCACAACCTTTAAATTGCAGCACTTCAGAAATATGAATGTTCCAGTCCTGTTCGCCTGACTAGTCTTCTCAATTCTCTTTTTTTTCCTCTTTTGTGTAATCTTCAGACATCCCCATCCTTACAGAAAGAGCTGTGGAGAATGGAAAGCTTGTGCCCCCTGCTGGCTACAGTGTTCCTTGGCATAGTTATCCTTGGGATAGGGGTAGGTGTGGACCTTGATGCTAATCCCACTGTCATTTATCCTATCCTGCTATTTCGTCTGGCAGATGGGCTGGATTTCACATTCCAAGAGGATCCTGACCCTAAGAAACGACATATTGTGTGCTTAGTTCTGAATGAGTTGCAAGAGTACAGAAAATGGAAATTCTGCTAATTCAATATGCATGCAAAACACAACATTTAAAAATCTTACTGTACTCTATTCCCTTAGTGCTTAGTGCTTCACGTCACACCAGAGGCCTTTTCTGGTTGCCACAGTTGCTTGTCCCCTCTCCAGATACTCTACTGTCTGAGGACGATCGCTCCAGGGATCCCTGCTTTTCCTGATGACCGCCGCCAGTCCATGAGCCGCCAGCCATCCTTCACCTACTCCGAGTGGACTGACGGCAAGCAGGAGGACTTCTTTGACCTGAACCCTGTGCCCGAGACTCCTGTGTTTGACTGCTTTATGGACATGAAGCCCGAGGCCGATCCAGCCACACTGACTGTCAAGCCTGTCGGCCTGCAGGAGAGGTCAGTTCCCTGGAGCTCATCGCCCCTAGAAACCCTTCAGTGGATGCTGGTTTCAGACTTGCAGTGGGATTGTATTCTTAAATTCAGAAATGGTCCCACCAAATAGCATACAGTACTTCCTGTTAAGTTGTGAGTTAAAGGTTTTTCTTTTGCTAATGTACTTTGTCCATATGACACAATTACAGAACCATAAAACAGAGATAACATATAGTAGAGTATGTATTTCTTACTCGGGTTATGCATCTATAAATTTTAGGCACAGTCCTGCAGAATGCAATGCTTTTAATTGTCTTGGGAAACTGATGCAGTCAGAAATGTGCTGCTATCTTTCCTCTCTTCATCATATTATAAGAAATATTGTCATTGATACACATTAAAGAAAACAATTCAAACCTCCCGATGTTACCTGTAAACCTCACCTCACGACCTGGAGGTGGGGTTACTTCACCCCGAAACTGAAAGCAATACTGTGCTTTGTCCCTTGCTCTGCTGTGCTCGCTCCATTTCTCTGTGCCTCGTGGGAAGGAGGGGGTCCAACGTGTCCCTGACCCTGGACATGTGCACCCCTGGCTCCACGGAGTCCTATGGGTGCATGCTGTCCCCGCGGGAGCAGTCGGCGCGCGAGTACCTGCAGAGAGCCACCAACGTGCTGACAGCGGCAGAGCTGCACGAGCGGGCGATGGACTCCTTCACCCTGCAGGCCGAGTTCTTCGTGAGTAGCTCTCGCTCTCCGGAAGTCCCTGCAACTCTTCTGCTGGCAGTCACCTCGGTCTGCTTCGTCTCAAGACCCAGGAGGTCCATGATGTGCATTGCAGATAGCTCCTATGTAGCTTCCAGTTTTCTACAGAATGCGTAGGACTTCTAGTGTAGACAGGGCTTGACCGCACACCAGCAATTGGAGTGACACAAGGGGTGCAAAACAGAAATCGCTGCTGCATCATAATCCTACTGTCACACCTTCCCATTATCAGAAAGCTGTTTTTTTGCTGGGACGTGTTCATCACAGAACACACACACACACACACACACACACACACACA